TGTTAGCTAAGCGAGGGGTAAATAGGAAAGAATTATTTTGGGCTCAGTTGTGATTCTTGTTTTTCTTTCCTAGTTTACTTGTAAGTTTCAAGAAGGGGCTGCAGCTCGCACCTCTCACTGGGATGATGTATGAACTCACTCTAATTTGCTTCTGAATCAATAAACTTACTATTATTCATCAAAAAAAAAACAAGTCCATGTTAGGGTCTTAAATTCTTAGTTATTACATAAAAAATAATGATTTTATAACTTTTAATTGCCTTTTAAGAAGATATTTTATTGGAATGAATGAATGAACAACACTAGCAAATAGGGGGTTCTTGGAGCGTGGTACAAAGGCAACTCATAGAATCAAGAATGCAATATGTTTTACTTCACATTTGCTACTTGAAGTAATGCAATTGGGGAAAAAAAGAGATTGTGGGTTTTACATGCTTGAAAATGCTTTATATGTTTGCTTTTGTTTTTAAATTTTCATTTGAATACACTTTACATGTTATGTTTATTTATTTTAATTTTAGATAATAGGTTTTTTACAACATTTATTTTAAAATGTAAGTTTATATTTTTTATTAACATTATGTTTAATATTTTTTGCATTTTTTAAAATTTATTAGCATTTTTTGAATTTTCTGATTTTTTTTATTGTTTAGCATTTTTTTGTAATTTTCACCTTGCTTCAAAAAGGCGCACACCTCGCCTTGTGCTTTTAAAACATTGGTATTGGTTAGAGCATTGTCTTGTTTTTTTGATAACTAAAGAATAAATCATATTAAAGAGTATCAAGCATGAAGTTAGTAAAATGTTCTCTAATGGGGATGAGATGCAGCCTCAAAAACCACAACATTACAATGTAGCCCAGAAAAGTCTATCCCTATGCACCCCTTGCTTAGCTAGGCAATCAGCTAGCTCATTTGCCGATCTTCTTTTCCATTGTGTCCTCATTGTCATGTTAGAAGTGATCCATTTAAACTTGTTCACCTCTTCCCTATATGATCAAATAACAGATTCCGGAGCCCATAGCCAGCTAATAACCAACTTGTGGAATCCCCCTTAATACGTAGTTTGTCAACATTCATCTCCTTGGCCAATTGTATCCCTTGCAAAACCACTTGAAACTCAGCTCTGATTGATTCTCCCACACCTAGAGTTCCTGAGAACAGAGCAACAATGCTGCCACTTGAATCTCGGAAAATCCCTCCTACTCCTGAAGGCCCTAGGTTCCCCAAACAACTACCATCAAAGTTGAGTTTAATGAAACCATGTTCTGGAGGAGCCCACTGTATCATAGACTTAACCCTTGTTACTGAACTCCTTGCTATTGCACCCCAATTCCTCCACAGATCATCAAAGCAAACCGTAGAGAAAAATTGTAATTAGGTTTCAAGGTTAGTTTATCAAAACATAGAATGTTAGGAACACATCAAATGAGGCAAACTTGGGTTTTAGTGCACACCCTACAAAATGAACCTTGCTTGTAGAGCATTTTTAAAACATTGACTAGTCAAGTTCATCAAATCAGAGAAACCAATTCCCTGGGCTTAGGACCTGTTTGCTTCTCAAAAATTGGGATGAGAAAGGGTATGATGGGAAAGAGAAAATTTTTCTTGATTGGGTGTCATGCATTTGGTTCATTTTCCAAATATGCGGGAAAATAAACTTTTAGTTGTTTGTTTACTTTCCATGAAGAAAAATATGTATATCATAAAATATATAAAGAAAAATACTATTCATGTTCAAAGAACACCTAAGTTGCTAGAATCATATGAATGCGTTATTGGAAAATACCATACCGTTGACATGCAAAGCAAGGTTGGAAAACATGAAATAGTTATCAATATCCATGAAAGAAAATGCATAAGAGCTTTCTTTGACAAGTTCATAGGCATTGCTTGAAAATGTGAAGAATCACACCATACATGGCATAAGCTTGGTCAGTTAACAGCCAATGTCACCGGAATCCATGGCAATCAAGGTAATTGTACATATCAATCACTAGCGTTGGCCGAATTGCAAGAATGTGGAGGTTATGGATCTCACCTTTGTTTGGCCTGGAACAACCAAAATCGATGATGGAGATCCGCCGATTGGAGGAGTTGTCAATGGTCTAGCCCGGGAAGAGGGAGAGCTCTAATAGAATTCGATAAATTGTCTCACAAGTGTTGCTTGATTTTCTTTTACCATTGCGGCCCCACATCCTTGGTTTTCAGATTTGAAACCCCCTCTTTCTCCGCTATCATCGCAAAACAAGCGCGGAAAAGGGGGAATATTCAGGAATATTTCTGTTTTCTCATCCCATTCTTGGGAACCAAATGGACTCTTGGCAGCTTGTTTGGTTGGGCCCTAGATGCTGATGTGGGATTCTGAGGAATAACCTCTCTTGAATGGAGAATTCCAAGTCACAGTTCATCCAAAGGGCTGATACATTATAGATTTCTGTTTCATGTTTTGAGTCAGATCGCCTGCTGTTGTATTTGTTCATTCCCTTGCATAATTAAGAGAAGGGTGTTTACTTTGTTTATAATAAAGTTCTTTGAACATGGTTGCTTGTGAAAAAAAATAAATGAATTTTCCTTTCTTTGTTTTTTTTTTTGAAACTTTTTTTGTCTGTTTGCCTTTGGAAAATGTTTACTAGTTTGGATCCCCCACTTTCTGTTTCAAATCAAATTGAATTTGGTTTCTTTTGTGGAACTTCCATGTAAGAGTTGTAAGAATTAATGATGTGAACTTGGGCCAAGGAAAATCTATTTATGAATATGTATGAGTTGGTGACTTTCATGTATATTTGCACATGCATATATACATGATTATGCATCACATGTTTTTATACATACATGTATAGTTCGTGTTGACAATGCACTTTGTGTTAAAAGGGCCAATATAGTCTTTTCCCCTTTAATGTTGCAAAGTGCACAAGCTTTACCACCTTGATTTCTCTTTGTATATTTGTGATCTCTTTCCTGACATTCACTTTTGCTTAACCAGGTAGGAAAAGATGTGGCTGAGTGTCTACAGCAAGCAATATCTAGGAGAGGACTTGATATGCGGGTAGTAGCATTGGTAAGACTGTCTTATTGATTGATAAATAAAGACATTATCATTTTTGTCACACTTGTATTTCCTCGTCCGAGTCATGTACATGACCAAAATCTATGCAGTTTTTAATCATATGGGGTACCCAAATAGTTGTTTACAATTTATTTATTTATTTTATTTTTTTTTATTTTTATGGATGTCTAGTAGTTGTCTACTTCATTACATCATTCTCATGGATGGTTCATGAGAATTATTGGAAGTGTGTTAGGAGGCAAAAAGGTCATTCATCTATTGTGACAGACATTTGAATTATTCGTCATCTCTTGAGTTGGGACTGGTTTGCATGATTGAAAAATTTTTGGGAGAATGACGGTTCAGCCCAGGGTCAGAATTTTTAGGCCCAAAGTACAGTTGGGGTAGGTGCCGGCTCGGAATGTATGCCAATTCACGGGTGGGCATTGGTGTATAGAGTGTGGGTTTTTGACATCTTGAATGTTTGTAGATTTGCAGTGGAATTCAGAAATCTGCATTGGGCCTGTCTGTACTTTTCCAAAAATCTTTTATGTTATGTGTTTTTTGTTCCTTGTGATCTCCTTGTGGTAGTGGTTTGAACAACAATCAGTTCTCACATGTCAATATGGCCGAAATTATTTGGTTACATCATTTCAGAATTTTAGATATTACTACTCTCTTGGCATGGGATTATAAAAAAATATTATTAAGCTATTTTTTGTGAGATGGGATGTTGGCAAGAGTGAACTCATTGATAAATGTTATTGTTATTGCATTTCACCACAAACAGGGGGTATATATCAGGAGGCTTATGCCTCTTTGTGTTTAGGAGGCTTACGCCTCTTGCGTTCTAAACTACGCTCTACGCCTCTAGGTAGTGGAATGCCTAATGTCATGCCTCCGTGTTTTAAAACATTGGTACATATAAATGTCACTCAAATTGGGATCCCACTTGAATTGCTTGTTCCAGTGGGCTCCTAGGAGTGCAAATAGCTTGACTGATTCCTTAGCAAAAGCAGGTGTTTTGAGGCAAGATCTTGTATGGGGTTCTCCAGGGCCAGGGATTGATATGTAAATTTTATCCTTGTTTTTAGTTGTATTGTGGGTCAGCTTAGTAGAAATCATTGATTGCAGATTTAGACGAATTCCTTGTGAAGAGAAAGAAGAAGAAGGTGAAGAGTTTCAGCAGTAGAGAAGAAAAGAGGAGAAGAAAAGAGTAGGATGTCAACCGGAATTGAAATTAGTTTTGGCCGCCAACCCCTCATTGTATTATATACTCAAAAGAACAAGAGATTACAAGAATGCCCTTAGTAGGGTGGCTACTTAAGTAGTTGAACAGTCATAACTTAAAAAACATAAACTAATGGGCTTAAAGCCCAACAACTTCTTGGCTTGACAACTTAAAAACTAAGATAAATAACTGGGCCCAATAACTATAAATCGGCCCAACTCTACACTCCCCCTCAAGTTGGGAGTAGATGTCACACATTCCCAACTTGTGTAGATCATGCTCCAACTTGTTCTTTGCAACACCCTTTGTGAGAACATCAGCAAGCTGCTGATCAGAAGCAATGTATGGGAGGCAAACTTCCCTAGAAGTCACCCTTTTTCTAATGAAGTGTCTATCTACTTCATTGTGCTTTGTTTGGTTATGTTGAACTGGGTTATGGGCAAAGTTAATTGTTGCCTGATTATCATAGTACAACATCATAGGTTCTTCTACCTTTACACCAATCTCTCCTAACATAGAACGGATCCAGAGGAGTTCTGAAACTCCATGTGCCATGGCCCTGTATTCAACTTCTGCACTTGATCTTGCCACTAGTGTCTGTTTCTTACTTTTCCATGAGACAAAGTTACCCCCAACAAGGGCGCATACTTCTGACGTAGATCTCCTGTCATCTAGGCATCCTGCCCAATCAGCATCTGTATAGGCCTCTAGTTTCAAYTGTCCATGATCAGCAAACAATATGCCTTTGCCTGGGTGTTCCTTCAGATAATCAAGAATCTTGTCAACAACCTCCCAATGCTGGACTTGTGGAGCATGCATGTATTGACTTACCACACTCAATGCATAGGAAATGTCTGGTCTTGTCATACACAAGTATAGCAACCGCCCCACAAGTCTGATATCTCCCAATGTCCTTTACCAGCTCGCCTTCTGAAGCATTAATTTTGTGATTCTGATCAATAGGAGTATTGATTGCCTTTGTTCCAAGTTTCCCTGTTTCTTGTAGAAGATCCAAAACATACTTCATCTGAGAAATAAAAATTCCATGTTTTGATCATGCAACTTCAATGCCTAAGAAGTATCTCAGTTCTCCAAGATCCTTAATTTCAAATTCTCTATGTAGATTTTTTTTTTTAGACTATCAATCTCACTTAGGTCATTCCCTTTGACTACAATATCATCCACATAAACAATTAGGACTGACACCAAGGATCCCCTCTGCTTAACAAACAAGGTATGGTCAGATTGAGTCTGAGTGTAGCCAAAAGCAACCAAGGCCTTCCTTAACCTGTCAAACCATTCTCTGGGAGACTGCTTTAAATCATAAAGTGACTTCTTAAGTCTACATACCTTCCCCTTTTCAACATACTATAAAAACCAGTAGGAAGATCCATATACACTTCCTCTTGCAGATCTCCATTTAGAAAAGTATTCTTCACAATAAGTTGAAACAAGGGCCAAGAGTATGTGGCAACAAGAGAAAGATGTATCCTAACAGAAGTCATCTTTGCAACTGGTGCAAAGGTCTCTAAGTAATCAATGCCATAGGTTTGTGTGTACTCTTTTGCAACAAGTCTGGCCTTATACCTTTCTATACTTCCATCTGCCTTATATTTGACTATGTAAACCCATTTGCATCCAACAGTCTCCTTGCCTTTTGGTAGATCTACAATCTCCCATGTCTGATTCTTGATTAAAGCTTCCATCTCTTCTTGCATAGCTGTCTTTCACTCAGGTTTGGAGTGGGCCTCATTGACACCCTTGGGTATAGACATAGAGTCAAGAGAGGAAAGGAAAGCACGGTAGGAAGGAGAAAGTCCATTGTAGGAAAGATACTGTGAAATACAATGAGCAATACACTTTCTCTTCCCTTTTCTGAGAGCAATAGGAAGGTCCAGGTTATCTGTAATTGGATTAGTAGAATCAATGAGAACTGAAACAGTAGAGGGATTAGGAAGAATACTTGAATCTTTGTCAGCTGAATCTGGAGTCTCCAAGGAACCGACATGAAGTAATGTGAGTTTTGCTGTAGTGGAATCAACCTCCCTGTGAAGTTTGTCATGAGTAACACTGAGAAGGAGGATCCAAGGGAGGTGGAAAGGTATAGGTGACATAGGAGGATCAGACACAGGGGCGGACACAGGAACTGGAACTAGAAGAGGGATAGATTGTTCACTCACTTCCCCAAAACACTCCCCCTGAGAAGGATTCTTCGAGAAGAAGTGGACTCAAAAAAGGTGACATCCATAGTAACATACATACTTCCAGAGACTAAATCATAGTAGTGGTACCCTTTCTGATTTTTTGCATATCCAAGGAAGACACACTTCTTTGCCTTCGGATCAAGCTTTAAGCGGTGAGGACCAAGAATATGTGCCAAGCAAACACACCCAAACACCCTAAGAGGAACATGGAACATCTCCTCCTCAGGAAAAAAGGAGATTGAATGGGGTGCTGAAACCAAGTATACGAGAGGGCACCCTGTTAATCAAAAAGATTGTTGTGAGAACTGCATCACCCCAAAACCGAACTGGAACTGTAGATGTGATCATCATGCTTCTTGCAATCTCAATAATGTGTTTGTTCTTCTCTGCAACACCATTCTGTTATGTACTGTAGGAACAACTGCTCTGATGGACAACACCATATTCTAATAGATATGAAGCAAGGTGTTTTTCAAAATATTCCTTGGCATTGTCTGATCTGAACGCCTTTATTCGTATCTCAAATTGTGTTAGCACCATCTGATGAAATTGCCTTACCAAGGATGGTACATCATCTTGGGATCTCATTAAGTAAATCCAAGAATATCGAGAGAAATCATCCATAAATAAAAGAAAATATCGATAACCACCCATAGAAGGAACATGATAAGGTCCCCACACGTCAGAATGAATAACATCAAAAGGAGATGAACATTTGCCTTCTTGTTTTTAAGTCTATCTGGCACAAGATGGAGATGAAGCTTCCAGCAAGTATCTCTTGTGTGTTTAGGCTCTTACAGTAGTCATAGATCAAATCCTTTTTGTCTTCCTTCTTGATTTCACTGCCACCCTGGTCCCCACCTTATTTAAGTCTCATAGTGCTAACCATGGCTGATTGATCAAAACCAGAAATTTTCGTCATCACATTTCTCCTGCTCTCTCCCCCTAACACGAAGGCATATGCCTGGGAGAGAGTAACACTGTCCATGGAAAGAATATGCTGTCTTGCAATATCATAGGAGTTTCTCTAGGAGCTTTTGATAGGAAGTTGCATCCTATACTTGGGATTAAGGCCAACAGGAAATTCAAACACCCTATACTTCTCTAGGAGCTTCTGATAGGCAGTTTCATCCTTATGGTTTCCCAAACAACTGTCTCTAAATGGTCAATCTCCTGCCACAAGGTTTTAAGTGATGAAAAGTAAACAACAATAGGTCTATCTCCCTGCCTTGTAGCAATAATCTGATTTCTCAAAGTCCTAGCAACATTCTCCCTTTGTGAATAGGTTTCTGTAACCCCATCTCATATTTCCTTGGCTGTATTTGTCCACAAAAAATTTTTACTTATGTGGGGTAGCATGGAAATACATAGCCAAGTCATCACCATATAGTTTTCCTATACCCATCGGGAGCTATTAGTTTCGGGTTTCACTTCTTCACCAGTGATATACTCTAACTTCCCACGAGCACCAATGGCCATCTTTGCAGATTGTGACCATTCTTAAGTAATTCGAACCATCCAACTTAACTGTAGTAATAATCCCAGCCCCAAAAAGGTCTCCAACACCTCCTCTCACT